AAGGAGAATTTCTGACCATAGAGCACCTTTGACCAACTCATTCCAACTCATTCCACCTCATTCCACATCCTACCACCTCATTCCACATCCCGAGTTTCCCCTAACTCTTAGAATTCTCTTTTATTGTCACTGATGAAACGATTTTTCTTTGTACTCTGTCTATTCACTTAATTACTTGCAAGATGCTAAAGCACCTAAACTATTATTAAATCTGGTCTATCAACTTCACCTAAAATTGTAGTTTAAGAAATATTTAGCATGAAAGCTTATGTTTCTGAAGATATTTAGAGGGTACAGATGATCTTTATACAATGATTTATTATCCCAGTTTATTTTTGACTGAATTTTTTCTTAAGTCTTTATTAGAACCTTCACAAAATCAATATTTTAAAATACAACTCCAACAGTAGCCACCTTGGCAGATTAAAAAATATGTATGTACATATGTGTATATATATGTATATTTTAGGGGGGGGGTGTGTTTATTTAATTCCTTGGTGGCCAGCAGCACAGAAAGCATTAGCTTTTGCTGATTTGAACTTAAAAGTTTCAGGCACTTCTACAGTGTAGTGGTTAGGTTTAAATAATGCACTAAGCGGTACATTGGTTCTTTGTAGGACTTAATTATATGCATGGAATAACTTCACTGAGCAGACTTGACTCTAGCTTTGTCTAGATAACAGATTTATTTCACTCTGCCTTTTTCATGTTTTCTCTTTGGAGCTTTCTCTTAAGGGGGAATTGTGTATTTCTACTAAGCTTTTGAATTTTTTGAATTTTTAGAAGTGTCAACCTTTGAAATGTTTTAAAAATAGAAATTGTTAAAGGACAAAAATTCAACCAAGTAAATTTAAAGATCTAATTGGTTTTATTGAACAATTTATGATTGGGCAGCATCCCATCTAGGAAATTGATAGGTGCTCTGAGGAGGGAGAGGCTGAAACTGCAGTCAGCTTAGGTAGTAAGTCGTGGTGGGGCTTACCACAGTGACTCCATTTGTTTGTTTGTTTAACAAAAGATATTAAGAGACCATAATCAGCTGTGTTCCTGTTTTTGAAAAGACATTTTCCATAGAGTTAATGATAGTATAGCTTTAACTTTCTCAGTGTACAGATGAGGAAACTGAAGCACAGAGAGTATCAACAATTTGCTGTTATAAGTGGCAAAATTGAAAATAGAATGCAAATACTGGAATAAAAATTCAGTACTCATTTTCACCAAGCTGTGGTGACCACTTCTTTTTTTTTTTTTTTCTTTTTTTTCAATTTATTATTATTTAGGCCTACAGCACCTGGTCTTCCTAGGTGGTCTCCCATCCAAGTACTAACCAGGTCCAACCCTGCTTAGCTTCCGAGATCAGACAGTGGGCTTGTTCAGGGTGGCATAGCCATAGACCATGCATGGACCATGGCTCCACTGGGGTGGGAACCCAGGGCCTTCTGCGTGTAAAGCAAACATGCTAACTGCTACACTATGGAACCACTTCCAGACCACTTCTAATTTAAATTATTGATCAAAAACAACATATTTTGAAATTGAAAATTGAATTAAAGCATTTTGTAATTTGTAAATTCACTTTTTTATTTGGGAAAGATGAGATGCTTATTTTGTGGTGCGATGGTATTGGAATCAGGGAGACCTTTACTTTTTAGTGGCTCACCTAATTGCTGTTTACGCTTCTCTGAAAATCTGGTTGATTCTGTCTTTTTTAAGTCTAAGAATATGTGCAAAGGTAAAGCACTATATTGTGTATCTTTGCCTTATCTAGCAGTTTTGAGTTGAAGACACCATAAGGCAGCCTTAGAAATAGTGCGTTTTCATTTTATTCTGAAAGAACATATTTTCTTGGAAACCCCAGGTTGCTAACATCCAAGGTTGTACACAGAGGTTTTTGTTTCTGCTTTTGGTAGAGTGATCGGGGCTGGAGGGAAAACAGGATGGACGCAGAGGTCTCCTTCTTGTCCCCTTTGAATTTCACCTCTTTTGAAGTGGTCTCTCTTTGACTAGTGCTGCATTATAATGATATCCTCTGGCCCAAGTGTATACCAAACTTCATTCCCTTTGTTTCACCTTTAAACATCTAAAAATGACTATTCCCAAAATTTACTCCTAGAGGAGAACAACCATGGGTTAAATAGAGAAAATAAAAAGCACCGTGGTAGTATGAATTATAAAGTGATTATTGCTCTCTTGTCTTGAGGGGCCTACCCTATTATTCTTCACTTTGCCTTGCGATAGCTCGCCTGAAGAGGTGGAACAACTTCAAGGCATTTTGCTGGAATTTCTAATCCCTGGCTTTTGACCTGTCCACAGATGGAGAGCTACTTTTTACATCCCATCACCTAGATGCTTCCTCCCAAACACATTAATGACCAAGACCAGAAAAATAAGATTCCTGTTCTGCATCCCACCCCTGTACCTTTTTTGTTTGTTTTGTTTCAGTTTTCTGAGAGAGAGAGACAGACAGACAGACAGACAG